TAAAAATCGGGTAGGTTGATTTAGTGATTATAGTTAAAGCCATTGGTTTTTTGCTGGTTGGAATATCGCATGAAGGTTTTTTTTTAATTTCATAATAAAGCAAAAAATATATAAAATACTTCTATATTATTTATCTCACTCTTGAATAAGTCCAATCTAAATAGTAGACGAACAGTAACCAAACAGGGCCCTGATACCTTAAGGGTTAAAAGGCCCAAACTAATTTCCCCTGTATAGACATTTAATACATTCATAATACAGTTACAACCAGTGATCATCAAGACATTATATTACAGGTGTAGTCATGTGGTGTAGTTAGCTGTACAAACAGCTACAACCCCCCACCATGATTATCATGGCCTGGTACTATATGTGAATACATGTGGTGCATATATACAGTACAAGAGAAAACAACCTTATACCCACTATGTTTACCAAGGACATGTATTAGATGCGTAGTCATGTGGTGTATCTACAGTACAAGCTGTTAGAAGCTTCAATCCCTCATGACGAAATATGTATAAGTTAAAATACCAACGAATTTAAAGGACTTTCTTATGAAGAATAATAGGTATCCTTTCATTCAATCGTGTAAAATTATTTAAATGAATAAATAAAGAATACAGAGACGGGATTCGAACCTGCAATCTTTCAGTAGCCAGGCGAATGTTCTACCACTAAGCTACCTTGGCCAACTTTTCAATTGTCGATAGGACCTATATATAGCCAACCCCGCCCTTAGATGTCGGGAAATTCTATCTATATATGTAACCCCCTTTCTATTTCCCTATATATGAAATGGTTTTACCCTCACACTATACATACCGTCTCGTACTAATGCCTTTTGTTCAATATACGTATAGCTGACCTTGGTGAGATACAACAACAACAAAAGCCTTTATTGAGGACCTCACGTCCTATAAAGGATTCGCCAGTTTACAGAGTAATTGAAGAGAAGATAACTAAGAATACAGAGAGAAACCTATATGTAGTAGGTTTAGTATTTTCTACACTGTGACTATATACAACAGCAGCAACAAGCCTTTTACTGGAATCAAAGTCCCATACAGGATTCGTCATTCTAATCCTGACAAAGATTATTTACATATAATTATTTACATCAATTAGATTATGTATATAGCTTTCCCTTCTCTTCAGCCGTCTTCCAAAATTTGAACAACGCAAACGCTCCAGCTCTGTTTCTCACCACCTCATTCAACTGGGGCCTTGGTGAGATACTCAATTCTGTGATCACTAGTGACAAGGATACCGCTGAGTATATCATTATACTAGTTCAGGTTAGGTTCAGATAGGTTTAGTTAGCTTAGTTTAGGCTATATTTTGTTCATTTGTTTACGAAAGAGTATTGATCGCTAAAAGTATTTATATTTATGGCTCATTTTTTATCATCATTATTAAAGTGTTTTACTAGGGTGATAAAGCTATAATGCAATGTTCTGATTCATAATTTTAAAAAAGGTTACCTATTTTTTAAGGTACATGAATATTGTAACAAAGTATTTATTAATTTTATTAACAGAATGGTCATTTTTATGTTTATATTTTGCTACTCTGTATTTTTTTTTTATTTCGTCTCAATTTGCAGGTGTTACATTCGAGCACAGCTCGCGAGTCACCTTGTCCTGGCTATTTACACATGGCGAGTTGGTGGAGTAGAGGTGGTTCCCCTAGGCCTTAGTCAAGTGTCGCCAATCAGTCAAGAAACTACACATTCCTTATAGCAAGAAATCCTATTAGTAGTAGTGCCATCATAATTTTTGGTACTATATTAATCCAAATTTCCTTCGTGGCTTATCTTTTGTTTATCATTCATAGTTTGTCCTTGCCTGAAATAAATTGTTGTCTCCTCCTGAAGTTTTTGTCTTCCCTAATTTTCCACGTGGCAATATCATCCTCCTCGCAACTTTATGTTGTATTCTTGCCTGAAAATCGGCCCTTGCTACTTCACCAGATTGAACACCTGTTTGGTAATTTCGACAGATTTTATAACCTCTCTCGTAGGATGTTATGGAATGTAAGCCGCCCCTGTACTGATGAGGGCCATACCCCGAAGGTATTGTGTACAGGTTAGCTCTCGTTTGTCTAAATTTTCCAAACCTGGTGTTGTGTCTTATGTTTTATTACCACTAGAAGTTTTTTATAGGGTGATAAACACACACTCATAAAATGCATCGTTTTCATACATAATTAACACTTTGTGGACGTACGATTCCACAGTTGCATAGGAGGCAATAGGAGCTGCTGGAACGGCGGTCTCACATGTCGTTTTACATTAGGTCAGCTGACATCCCCCCAACCCACTGATAGATAGACAAGAAGGGACAAGATTCTGGTGGACGCGAATTCGTGTCGGCCGCAGACGATTTTATATTTAATTTTGAAAATAGAGAACGGGAATTTGTGTCCTTCGGCCTTGATGCAAAATCGGCAAGGACGCGAATTCACGTCTCTCGGGTCGAAAGTGTTAAAGGGAGATCTGCTTCTTTTTAAGAACATGAATATCATTCTCCCACAACTTTATTCAGTTATTTTTTGTATTTATACTCAATCCACAAATAGTATGCCCATAGTTTGCATAAATACCTCAACCAATAATTCATCTACAATGTCGGATACATGAGCAGAATGACCTGTATTAGAACGGTATGCTAGATTAAACTGGTGAAACTGCTGGAGGGTTTACCACTGAGAAACTGAGCCAACTCAATATTTTTCATTGCAGATTAGGAAAGTAGAATTTTTGTTATACACTCATGATCAAAACTTAGTGGAAAGTTTTTGATATCGTCAGTCGTCTGTTGTTTTTTTTTAAGGAGACAGAAGCAATTTTGTTCACACTTGATTATCTTGTGTGTCTTCAATAAAGGTCACTGTAATATCTTTCAGAGTTATTGTCTGAATCCCGATACACATGGTAAAAGGTACAACTTCCTTAAGTTTTGTCCATGAGTGTAGATGGCGCGAATATTTCCCTATGTTTAACCCAGGAAGAGATTGGGCGTGTTTCCTATTGGCGTCATGTGATCTGACTGGATCGTCCCGTTAAACGGGCGGTGAAGTCCGGATGGACCTGCAGCAATGAGATTCGGTCGATGCTGGGATTCATCAATACGCATGCGTAGTGCATCGATCTATCGAGTAGTCCAATTGGCGCCAGGGTCTTGTAATCCCGGGGACTTATCTGAGGTCCCACACCCAACACCGGTGGTGGGGTTGTAGGTGTATCTACTGGCTTCCTTAATGGCTGCCTTGGGATTTATGGCGTGCTCTACTCAATGCATGTCATGTAGTGGCACGCAGGGAGTCCTTGGTGGATTGGAAGTCCTTGGGATGGTCCCATACGTCCCGTATCGAATATTGACCCTATAGTTTTACGTTATATCCTGTTACAGTCTTTCTTAAGTGTCCTGTACTCAATGCATGTCGCAAAATAACACGAATGGTAATGATCTGGAAATTTTAGCGGGTTCTTGAATACTAAGGAAGTCCTTGGGATTTTTCTATACGTCGCGTATCTAACATTGACCTTGTTGCTTTACGTTATGCACTGTTACAGTTTCACTTTATTGTCCTGTACTCAATGCATGTCGCTTAACTACACGAATGGGAATGTTCTGGAATTATCATTAGGGTTCTTAATGACTAGGAAGTCCTTGGGATGGCTACACACGTCCCGTATCTAACGTTGACCTTGTAGTTGTACGTTATGTGCTGTTCCAGTCTTTCTTTAGATTCCTGTACTCAATGCATGTCGCTTAATGAAACGAATGGAAATGTGATGGAATTATCATTGGGTTCTTGATGACTAGGAAGTCCTTGGAATTGTTCCGTACGTCCCGTATCTAACGTTGACCTTGTTGTTTTACGTTTTGTACTGCTACAGTCTTTCTTTATTGTCCTGTACTCAATGAATGTCGCTTAATAAAACGAATGGAAAAGTGATGGAATTATCATTGGGTTCTTAATGACTAGGAAGTCCTTGGGATGGCTACACACGTCCCGTATCTAACGTTGACCTTGTAGTTGTACGTTATGTGCTGTTCCAGTCTTTCTTTAGATTCCTGTACTTAATGCATGTCGCTTAATGAAACGAATGGAAATGTGATGGAATTATCATTGGGTTCTTGATGACTAGGAAGTCCTTGGAATTGTTCCGTACGTCCCGTATCTAACGTTGACCTTGTTGTTTTACGTTTTGTACTGCTACAGTCTTTCTTTATTGTCCTGTACTCAATGAATGTCGCTTAATAAAACGAATGGAAAAGTGATGGAATTATCATTGGGTTCTTAATGACTAGGAAGTCCTTGGGATGGCTACACACGTCCCGTATATAACATTGACCTTGTAGTTTTACGTTATGCAATGTTACAGTTTTACTTTAGTGTCCTGTCCTCAATGCATGTCGCTTAATAACACGAATGGGAATGTTCTGGAATTATCATTAGGGTTCTTAATGATAAAGGAAGTCCTTAGGATGGTTTCATACGTCCCGTATCTAACATTGACCTTGTTGTTTTACCTTATGCACTGTTACAGTTTTACTTTAGTGTCCTGTCCTCAATGCATGTCGCTCAACGATACTGAGTGTGATGAAGTTATTAGTGGGTCCTTAATTGTTAGAAAGTCCTCGAGTTTGTTCCATACGTTTTCATCAAGCATTGACCTTGTTGTTGTACGTTTTGCACTGCTACAGTCTTTATTTAGTATCCTGTACTCAATGCATGTCATCTAATAATACGAATGGAAGTACGCTGGAGTTATTTTTATTGTTAGAATCCGTCAAGTTGTGTTCGTCTTTTGGTAACTATATGGACAAACAGTCTCCAATTTGATCTGTTTGGATCCACATAGTTTTATCAGCAGTACTTGATACAGAAGTAGTTTGCCAGTGTCTTCTTCCTTCTATGCCATTGGCCATATAAATTTGTCTTTTCCGTCTTTTATCTATGAGTTTAAATAGACTTACCGAAATCATTAATGGGAATACAATTATTGATACTTTGTGAATCTCTTTAATTGTTCATTGGAATATTTAAAAATATTCTGTTTCTCGTGAGATTGATCTCGAATAGAAAGAGATGGCTGTTGTTGTATTTGTGGAAATCTTGCCGGAAGGAAATTGATCTATAGAAGTATAGGGCGCCTCTCCAGTCAAAATAAACGTCAAAACTAAACGCCATCTATTGACCGTCTTCGCATTATGGCGTCTAGTTTTGATATTTATTTTGACTGGAGACATTGACATTTGAAATGATTTTATTGACAATTAGTCAATTTTTTATTTAAAATAAAACAATGATAATAAAAATGAGTGAATTATGGAGATATACAATGAATTTATGAGCTAGAGAAGCTCCACCATCTTGATAACGTCCTCTTCCAGACGAGGTCTTCTTGGACTCCCAGCATCTCTAACCCCAGGAAGTGCTTGTAGATACGTGTCTTGGCAAATGTCATGATTCCATGATTCTATATACAGAATAGATGCATATATTGGATTTATATATTTTCATTTTTCCAATATTTTGAGGGGCAACTCGCCTCTCTTTATCAAGGATGTTTGTGTATTTCACTAAAACAAATAACATACGATGATTGTTACCTTACCCAATTGGGAGAATCTGTATGGGGCATGTCCCTAATAAAGGCTTTGTGTGTGTGTGTGTGTGT